ACTTGTAAGAATTAGTCAGTGGACATTCACATACCCACTGCCTACTTTTCACAGTGAACATTTTCTCTGCTTCCTGTATCACATGCCTTGCCATCTGTCCATTTCTCTATCCAATCATCCAAGAATCTTCATTTTCTGCTGCACTTCAAGTTTTAGGTGTTGATATACTTAAACATTTCAGTCTGCAGATCATTAACTATAGTACAATATTTATTTACAGTCTTTTGAGGCAGATAGAGTATAACATACAAACTATATGTGTAAATTTTGGCAAATATATACAACTCTATAATTCAAACAGCCATTAAGATCTGGAATGTTTGTATTATCAAGTGGATTCCTTTGTGCTTATCCCAGCCAATTCCTGTTCCTTTTTCCCAAAGAAAAGCATTGTTCTAATACTTTTCACCATAGACTCATCTGTTTTAGAATTTCATATTCATATAAGCAGCCAGTAAGAACAATTTGTGTAAGGCTTTTTCTCTCAGCATAATGGTTTGGAGATTCATTCTGGTTTTTACGTCTCTGTCATAGTTTGTTCCTTTTCATTGGTGAGCAATATTTCACGGTATGAATTTACCGCTGAATACTACTGTTATGAGGGATAGAATATGTGATGAGCTGATAACATAAGGGAGGACTTGAGATATTTTTACCATAAAAAAGCAAATCTAAGAAAGGACAAGGGAACCCACCCCAGCTATTTAAAGCAGAGGTCAGCAAATATTTTCTGGAGTGGGCAAGAGATACGTTAGCCCTTCCTGGGCCGTATGGTCTTTGTTGCAACTACCTAATTCTGACCTTGAAGTGGAGTGAAAGAGGCCACGGAATATATGTAAAGGAAGTATCACTGTGTTCCAATAAAACTTCATTTATGAACACTGGGATTTGAATTTCATGTGATTTTTGTGTGTCACAAAATAGTCTCTGCTTTTGGATTTTTTTTTTGTAACCATTTGAAAGTGTGATATCCATTCTTAGCTCACTGCTTACCCAGAAACAGATGGTGGGCCAGATTTGGCCCCAAAACCATAGTTTGCCAGTTTCTGATATAAGGACTATCAAACTAAAGAAGAAATTATTATTGTTCTCTTGAAGGCAACATGAAGACTCAGGGAGGCAGCTTTTGCTCAGAAAACTGAAGATTTATCTATTAATTGGAGCTGTGTTCAAGTGGATTTTAGCTCCTCACTCTCTCTGTTTCTCTTACCCCTAGTGGTGGCACAAGATTAAAGGGCAGGCTCTGGGGCAGGTCTGTGTAACTCAGTTTTTCAGGTCCTCTTTTTCTAACTCTTTGACCCAGAGCAAGTTATTCAACTCCTTTCTGTTTCCACTGATTCATCCATGGAATAACAGTAGCAATAGGACCTACTTCCTAGGGTAGCTCCTCGGGCACTCCATAAGCTAGTATACATAAACTTCTAAGAACACAATGGATTCACCATCAGTGCTCAGTGTACTTCATACAGTGTCCAGCACATGGTAGGTATGAAAGAAGTACTGCATCAATATCATTATTGTTATCACTGGGAAGCTAGATAAGCATAGGTGTTAGCTTTCTAGAAAATCATCTTGTAAGGAGGAGAGATTTCTGTCATTCCTTGGGGCTTCATAAGTTTCTGTGCATGGTCAAGAGGTTCTATTGCTTTGGACCTGTGATAAGGCCCAATGTAATGGTGGGAGGACACTGTGGAGGATGGCTTCATGGGGACCTAGAAGAAAAGAGAGAAAGAGGAAGGGGCTAGGATCCAATATCTCCTTCAAGGCCACACCCCCAATGGCCTAACTTCCTTCCGTGAAGCTCCACACCTCAAAGGCTCCACCATTCCACAGTAGTACCCCAAGTTGGTGGCCCAGCCTTCCACATGTGGACCTCCAGGGACACTTCAGCTTCCAAACTATAGCAGCATGTGTGAGAATTTTGTTGAAGGAATTCCTGTGTTTCATGGGCCAACCTAACAAATAGACTTCTTATTTTAACCATCAGCATTCTCTTCCATTGAGTTCCCAGAGTTTCAATCCTGAGATTCACAGTTGTTGAAATCTAGAAAACATAGCATATTTCTATGCTATTAACATTAACATTAACATTAGCATTAGTACAGCCTTCACAGTAAGGTATTTTGCTTCTACTTGATCTTTGTGATCTTGGATCTAAAGCTTACCTTTCAGAGGTAAGTTAGTTCTCAGGCCTATGTTGCTGCTGCCTAATTGTAATGTTACTTTCATTTTTTTTTCTTCATATGAGAAAGTGAGAAGAGAAGGGATCTTTGGTCTGAAAAGGGAAATGTGTTCAATTAAAAGCGTTAAACATGGTCATGATTATTCCTGTGGGTTGCATTCACCCGCTACACAATGCTGAATAATTGGATAGCTATGGGAGTATTGTGCAATTGTGTCTGGGTGTCATATGACTTTGTGTAGCTGGCACTTGGCTGGCCCTGGGAAGAGAGCTCAGGTAGATCTGACTCTGGGAGCTCTCCCTTTGTATCTGCATCCCCCCACAGCCCCAGCACTAGCATTCTATTGTTGTGTGTGTTTGCTAGGTCTCCAACATCTGTTTACCCTAGGCTGTTTATCTTTACTAGTATTTTTATTATGTCATTTTCTTTTTTTTTTTCTATTAGCTGGATGGAATGATGGCTGTGGTGCCTCAAATAATATAAAGTCACAAAATAGCACTAGAAGATACCCGTGGGAGTATTTAGGGAAACATTTTCATTTTCCAGTCAAAGAAGACAAGGTGCCAATGGTAGGATAGAAGGCCTGCTTCCTCCGGCTCAGTGCCCTTTTACCACCCACATTAGTCCCTGTCAATCAGCAGGATACCATGTAGGGGAGTTGTGGAGGGGCAGAGGGGTCAGATGGACATGGCCTCACCTTCATGCCTAACCTATAGACATTTGGCATGATTCCCAAGCTGAAATATACAATAACTGGAATAATACTCTTTATTATGTTGCATATTCTCGAAAACGCTAGTGAATACCAGATATTAAAACTGAATCCATTTTTCAAACCCTGTTTGGGGATGTCTTTATGTTTTTATATTGGAATCTCAAAATGGGACATGAGTCTCAGCCTTTGTATAATTTTCAGAAGCCCTAATGATAAGAAAGTGAAACCACAGTATTTAAAAGAAAATTTAAGCACTTAGCTATCCTTATGAACAGATGATCCCAAGAAGAGGAGCTGGTAAGGGCACAGAGAAATGCCCAGGTAGACCTCGATTGACATTAAATGGTAAGTTTTTAAAAAAATGTCAACATGAAAGTGAAGAAAGAATAAAAGAAGGGAAGAATTCTTTTTGGCAGGGTTGGAGGGAGTGGTGGGCATCAGCTGTTCCCATGTAGTTAAGGTAGAAGGCAAATGCTCTGGTCCCTGGTGAGGGGGAGGCTGCTAACCTTTTGACTAAAATAGAAATGAAGGCATCCTTGCACTAATGAACACTTTTTAAATGTTTCATGTGTATTTTAAAGCATGAAAGGATTTGAATTGACTCCATTTGCCAGTTTGACCCAAAGATGGGAGTTGCAGAGCTACATATAAAAAATACAACACATGAGAGTTACTCATTTTGGGTGTAGAAAGCATTTCCTAATTGACTTTCTGAATTTTTGGATCTCGGGAGTATTGTTTGAATGTAAAGATATACTCTCCAAGTAAAAAAATGCTTTTGAGAACATAATGGACAGTGACAGACTGACATGACCTGAACTCACGAGTGTCCTTAATTCTTTTTCTATGCAATATTACACTGATAAAATTGGAAAACTATTTCACCTTAGTGTATCAGCCACCTATGCTAAGGCCTTATTCATTTAACAAGATCCTTTTGGAAGAAAACAAGAACTTTGCAAAAACAAATTGAAAGTGTAACACTATTTCCTGCAGAAGTGGATCCCAGATTGCACACTTTCATTAGAGGTGGTCAGGGCAGGATCTCTGAAGGGTTTTTAAGAGCTACCTGATTAGACATCTGGTTTTCCTTTCAAAGTCCTGTCTGTTTCCTTCACCCTCTTCAAAACACCCTTAAATAGACATATATATGTCATGAAGTTGAAAAAAAAGACTAAGAACAATGGGAGCTTTCTTTTATTATCCAGTAGTCTTGTGCATTTTAAATACTAATCATTATCAGGAGAAAAATGAAGCCAAAGTCTGGTAAGAAGATGTGCTGCAAGGTGGAATAATACTGTTGTCAAAACTCAGCCAACTGATGGAGTGAACTAGCTGGTTTCCCACCGTAGAAGAAAGAGGGCTTCAAAGTTGCAGCAAAAGTATTTGTTTAGAGTGGAGAGGATCAAGACTTTCTGGTATTTACAGCGAAACAACAACAACCCAGCCTATCTTGTAGGGAAGGAATGCATGGTTAAATTGGCTCCACTCCTCCTTAGCAACCTGAACTCTGAGGCCACATTTTTCCCTCTCTAAGAAGCAAGTGGGAACTTGAAAAGTATGTAGCATGTTGTGAAGAGGGAGCAGTGAACTTTGCCCAGTTTGCAGCCAGCCCTGAAATCTAAACCTTCAAAAGTTCCAGGGCTGGTGGTGCTTTCCCTCTCCTGCCTTCCTTTTTAATCCTGTGCATGTAGAGCCTTAGCAAACACCCTTGGCCTGGAAGCAGAGAAATCTCACTGCTAAGGAAAAAAACCCCCAAAAACCCAACTTGTTTTCTAAGTTTTTCTGACGTCCTTCAAAAGGAAATGCTAAACACAAAAATAAACATGAAACCTAACTTTGCGATTCTGATATTCAGTTAGTTTTATATACCTGCAGAATATGCAGAAAGACTTATTTTCCAAAGTTTTTGAGGTTCCCTCTGTAGGGATTATCGCGGATTGGCAAAATTTACTTCCCTCACCTTGCTGGGGAGGGAGGAGACTTCATTAAAAGCCTCCCATTTGAATCTTTTCACCAGGGCAAGTTACTTGGTAACTTGAGCTGCAGTCGTTCCTGAAATTCTTTCACATAATTGAAGATTAATTTGATTCCCCAGCTTGTTGAGGGTAGTTGACAGTGGGGGGCTGGGGTGGGTGGAAATAGATTATTCAAATCACAAAGAAGTAGGTGTGCCCTAAGTGACTGTTCCATTACGGCGAGGAAGAAATGTTTGCCTTCCTAAGCATTCATCCAACTCGCTGCTGCCGATTGTGTGGGGCCGGAGGAGAGTGCCTGCTCACGATCGGAAAGCAGGTGAGCCCCAGGGAAACTTAAATATTTTGTAAAGCGAGTTGTGTGCAGTCATGGCTACTCCAGAATCCATTAAGGCTGAAACAAGCCGACTCAAGGGCTCTGGCTTTCTCACATGTCTAATGTAAACAATATGAAAGTCAATAATGGGGGACATTCCAAGATAGTATTAACACGATTGATTTATTGATGGCTGCACAATGGGAGGTTATCTTTTGTTAATTGACTCAGTAAATAAGCTCTGGGCGTCACTGCATGGGGGGGAATCAACCCCGTGAAGGGAAGAGGCGAGGCACCCCGATTATAATTTGTTCAATTCCCAGCCTTGTTTTGGTAAATTCCAGACCACTTCCTCTGGAAACCTCAGAGTTGAGCAATGTTAATTCTGCCCAGAACTTGGCATTTTTCCTCCAGGAAGAGAAGATTGAAAGGTGGGGTATTCCTGTCAAATACTAGATTCCAGTTGATACTTTTTTGCTTCAGGAAGGTAGAACGCCTAGCAACTCTAGGGGGGTGTGCGTGCATGCGCGTGCACACCTCGGGAATACTTGTAACTTCTGGGGAGGGAAGTGATTGAACCAGGGGGAAAATGCGTTGTTCGCCGCTGACAGCTCTTTACACAGCCCTCTTCATAACTGGGTAGCTCCTACTGGGAGTCCGTGGGAGAGAAAACGACGTTTTGAAGTTCTGGCCAATTCTCAGTATGTCAGCTGCAGTGGAACCTTCTAGATAGCCATGTAACTTAGGAGCTTGTCTAGATCGATTACTTTCTGGACTTTCCCACTTTCAACACAACATCTGAAGATTAAAATTCCTCAGCCAGAGATGGTGGCGCACGTTTGTAATCCCAGCACTCTGGGTGGCTGAGGCAGGAGGTTGGCAAGCTTGAGCCCATCTGGGGCAACTTAGCGACAGCCTGTCTTCACAATAAAACGCAATAATGACTACAAGAGCTAGGGAGGGAGCTCAGCCTCAGCGCGAAGGCCCTGCATTCAATCGCCCATGCTGGCCAAAATAAAATAAATCCGTAAAAATAAAGACAACCGCGTTGCTCATCCCTTTGCATCGTCTAGAACATTGGAGAGACTTGAGCTATGACTTGGCCTTTTCTCTTTCCTCCTCTTCCAGCTCCTCTCCGTGTCCTGTGCTGGTGACTTCAGAGAGTGCATTGTCGTGTATGGACACCACACCGACCACTCTGTAACCCTCACCCTTCGCCCAGGCCCCTCCCTGCCTGCTCTGGCTGTGCACAGCTACCCCAGATCCTCGCCCTGCTGTTTGTGGCCCCCACACTTTGATTTCCCCTCGTGTCTTCACTTTCCACACTTGTACATCCCGAAAGTTTCCAAGTCCTATGGATTCTGCTTCTGTTATTTCTAATTCAAAGGTTCTGGGCTGTGCCTTCCAACTGGATAAAGCTGACCCTGGAATTGGCACCTGGTGGGTGAGCAATCAGGGTCCGTTGAATGAAAAATGGCCTCCACCTTAATCAAGGTTTCAGCTCCAAAAATAATCCTACGTGTATCTCTGCCCACTACTGCATTATCCTCCATGACAGTCGGCTTGGATCACATTATTTTAATGTTCAGCACCTAGCTTTTTCCTGAATCCAATGTAAAGTACTCTTTTCTTTTTCTTTTGGCACCAGGGATCGAACTCAGGACCTTGCGCTTGTGAGGCAGACTCAGTGCCACTGAGCTAAATCCCTGATCCCCAAACTACTCTTTTTAAATACACCCCAACTTATTTTTCCTCAGTACTCCTTCACAAACTCCTAAATACCCTATGCTCAACACAAAACATACAGTTCCCAAAGGAAGATCTTCCAGCCTACACTTACCCAACTTTGTGATGGGAAGAAAGCCACAGGGTAGGCTGGGAAGCAGGCTCTGAAGTTTGAATTCAGTCTGTTCTGGGCTGGTGATAGGTGGTGATGCTTCTTCCCAGTCTGGACAGCAGCAGTGAGTCATTTCAGCAGGAGAAACGCAGAAACTGTAGGTGGCACCGTGCGGGCAGTGTGTTTTGGATATTGTCATTCAGAAAGTTAACTGAGATAGTCAATGCTTAATTATAAAATGGGCTTTGAGTTGGGTGGTGCTGCTTAACTGTATGTAAGGAAGGCAGGCCAGGCACAGCTGTGATGTCCAGTAGGTGAAGAATAGTAAATACATTTTTGATTTTTTCTATTTATGATGGGTTTTAGCCTCAGTAGAAATGCAGCAGCACCTGTATTATTTATTCATTTTGGTCTCTGCCTCATAGCTTAGTTTATCTTCATTTCTTCAACCGTAATGCTTACTCTTGTTTATTCAGCAGTATTGGGGATTGCACTTGGGGTCTTTGCACTGAGCTACACACCCCGTCTTTTCCCTTCTTTCCTGAGTCAAGGTGTCGCTAAACTGCAGATTTTCCTGGGTTGATCTCCTGATTGTGATTGTCCTGCCTCAGCCTCCTAGAGTGTATCCGGCTTCACTCATCTTTTAAAAGTGAATTTTTACTGGGCTTTTAAGGCACATTTCAAATGCTGCCCCGCCCATGGAGCTACAGTATTTGGGTTCTGTATGTCTTTTTCAGCTAAGCTGGATGTTCTTCCCTTTTCAGGGAATTTATGGGATTCCTACCAGCAGGTACCTGGTCGGGAGATGGGAGCTAAACTTCCTTTTTTTGTGCCTGGACCCTCAATGTCTTACACATAGTAGGCACATAGAGTACTTTCATTAAATTACATTCATGTTTGTTTTTTCCTCAGGGCTGCCGGGATGTTTCTTTCTCTTTTGAGTCCAGGTTGATGCTCCTCACTGTGGGGCGTGTGTCTGTGTGAGTAGCCCGCTTAGCTCCTTCAGTGAGGAGACATACGTTGTTTAGTCCTTATTTTAAACTACTTTTCAGAATGGGAGAACAACGCCTTCATTTTGGATCCATGTGATGCACTTTGAATTTGCTCAGCTTTAGTTTGTGCTGCCCCTCATTCTGTGTGGAAATTAGTTCCACCGAAGTGCCACTGAACTCAGAGCTGCCTGCAACTTGAGATGCAAACTCCAACACTGTGGGCCACTTTTGAGAAGCATGTGGTCATTCGGGAAACAAAGACACTCCTGTTTCCTCTTCTCAATAACAATTAAGACATCAGATTAATAGAATCTTTAAATTCTTGAATGATGCTTGCAGAACAGTTTGTGTTTGCTTTAACACAAAGGAATACTTTCTGAAACCTAAAGGTCACCCAAGAAATAAGAGAGAGACAATTTAGGAATGGTGCATGCTGGTAGAGTTTTGCAGAATGGCATGTGTTCTTTACAGTGTGTTTCTGGCTTTGGAGCCACTTGGCATGGGAGTACACTGTGATTTACTGCAGACAGGCATTCCTGGGCAAGGAGTCCCCTGCATGGAAGGGACATGCCATCAGGAGAAGGAGAGGACACTGGGGGTGGGATGGGGGAAGAAGACTTCTCAGTTCCCACTCTAGCATTTACTTAATGAGTGTAATGTTCTTGCTAATGGGATTTAACCACAATACCTGTCTCTAACCTTGTCACCGAAAAGGTAGTCTACATGCCCCTCTTTTCAATGCTGTCTGGGTGGAAACTGTGCCCAAGTCTGTTCTCCCAATTTTCTAAGTGGTAATCCTAGAATTATCTTGGCTCAGAAATAAATGAAGAACTCATGTACAGGAGTCAGATTTCCCTACAGGGGTTGTAACTGAAACAAGGATTAAGTACCAGTGTACAAAACCTTTCAAGCAATGGACAGCATGTCAATTGCGGAACACTCTATCGTAGAAGGGCCCTTAGCGCTTCTCTTTTATAAAGCCTGAGATCAGATTTTGGTGGAGAATTAAAAGCAGGGCAATTTAGCTCCTTTAAAGGGTTGCTGGTTTGGGAGGACCCAGCTATTTTTAGCTCTGTTGCTGTCTGTCCAGGAAGCTAAAACAGCTAGTCAATTAAATGGTAAACAGTGTGTGTGTGTGTGTGTGTGTGTGTGTGTGTGTGTGTGTGCAAGGTGTTGTGTAGGAGTAGGGCAGGGAGCTGGGGAGATAAAATAGGCCTCAGAAAAGAGTCTACCCAGGGCAAGAACTTTGCAAAGAGTTGCACAGTGTCATGCAGATAAAGCATCCACTGGCGGCCACCTGTTACACAGTGCACACGTTTATTTGATGTTGCGCAGCAGATGGAATGGAATGACACTAAGCCAGCTGATCACTCATGCTCAGGCATCCATTGAGTGATGGTCACAAACTCTCTGCCATTTACTGACTATCTGCTATACACCTAGCATGGCGCTTTACTTCTGGTGTGCCATTGGATGTTGACAGCTGCAGCCTGAGAAGCCGATACAGAGACATTTTTGCCCAAGATTACCTACCTGATAGGTGCCTGAACTGGATTAGAATCTAGTTTTCTTTCCAACTCTGCTCTAGTCACTTCTGTAGCCTGCCTCCCACACTGGTCCCAGCTGCACTGACACTATGTGATCTGAAATCGGTGTGTGAGGGCACTTTGGCCTTCCTGGAGAAAGGCATGGAGCACACACAGGCCCGATATGCACACACAGAAATGTGTATATACTGAACCTACATTTAAATCCACATTTTAAGTGTGCCAGTATCCTTAAAAAGAAATAATGAGGGACTCTCATTTACATTTTGCTTTCCAGTTTTCCTGGAACTGTAATTTGTACTCCTCTTTTTTAAAAAAAATCCCCTTTACCTTCTTTTATTTATTATGATCCCTGGAGAATGTGTCCTCTGCTCATGGCCTAGATAAGAGATCATGGGTATGGAGCAGAGGTCAGCAAGATAGACGTATGTTAGAAAAAAAAAAGAAAATAGCAGGGTGGAACCACATGGCTCTTAGTGGTCATTTTTTCCCCTCATGCTGTGTAGCAAACCTGAGGCATGCTCAATTTGGCATCTTTGAATTTAAACCATGGATAAACCAAATAGATCACAAACTATGATTCCAAATAGAAACTGTGGATTTATCCGAAGGTATATTATATGATCTCATCCAAACATAAAATTCATATTCTAAGAGTGGTGTGTAAAATTCCCCGAGATTTTAGTGCAAGATAATTTTCCCTTTTCATGTGCCTTTCCTCATATTGAGATAGGTGGAAATCTTTTAAGATTTTAATTAACCTTCGTCCTAATGAAAAACCAACTACCAATCTATAGATGGAAGGATATTTCCTTGGACAATGTAGCCGTTAGTGTAAGGTCTTGTTGAATCTCTTTCAACAAGTGTTTGGAAAAAATCAAATTTAGAAATAAACATTCATATCTAGAGGGCCTATCGGGGTTTCCCTCCAAGCAGACAAAGGAATACTTTCAGTCTTATTATATGTCTTTGGACAAGCTCAGCTCTCAGGGCCTGCTGAGCGCTAATATCTTACGAATCACTAACAGTCAAACTTCTTTCATTTTGAGGCCCATTCCTGGAGGGATAAAGATAATGTGGTCAAGGATGCAACAATCAGCTGTTGGACTCAGATGTGGCTGTAGATATAAAACAGAGTATCTCTTCCTTTCCAGATCAAAGGGAGAGAGTCCTTAGAATGCTCAAGTTCGAAGTAGACAAAGAGGAGAAGGAATATCTAGCATCAAAATAGTGGCAAATATAAAAATCTAGGCTTATTACTGAGACCTAGGAAACAATTCTCAAGGAATGTTCCTGCTGCCAGTTACCTGAGATTTTTTAATTACAGGCAATTCATGATTACCTGTGAAAGGAGGGATGGAGAGGAGAACTCAAACAATGAATGTTGCAAAATCATACAAATTGGCTTGGGAATATTCTGCATGATTTCTCCCTCTTAGAAATTTGCCTTCCTAATTGTATTTTGCTTAATCCAATATTAAAAATTAGTTGGTTTCCCCTGAGAAGCTCTGGAGTTAAACTGCAGAGGGAATTAGTTTCAGGAGCATGCCACTTGGAACGTGGTGGATGAAACGTATTCGGGCCTTAATGGACCAAAAGCTCCCACAGATATTTTAATCTTAAAGGAAAGTGTCATCTTGAGCACCTTACTAGTCTTCTCATGTTGCCTAAAAGGCTGTAAACAAGTATTTGTGATCGTTATGTAGGTGAGATTATTTCTACCTAGATTTGTGCATTTTTACCTGGAGAATGTTCCATTCTCGTCTCTCCCCTCCTTGGTAGCTGTAGTAAATAATAAACCATCTATCAGACTTAAGCATAGGGCCTTAATGGGGCCAGAAATTTTGTTGAATAAATGAGAACATTACTTAAGGCAGGTCTGGGTCTCATTGTGTGACACCCAAGCAATCCATGAGGTGATGTTTGTGATTTAGGAATCCGAACCCTTAGGCTATAGAGTTGTTTTCTTTGGGGTTCCAGACT